TTTGTCTGACCACTTAAGAAAAGAAAAAAGCACAGAATTTGCATAATTCAGTCTTGAATTATATGCAATATTCATACCTATATATAGCAACAACCCCAGTTAGAAGCTAAACACGACTACCTTGTTTTATATTTATTGATACTAATGTAAAATTTAATGATTACATGTACAGTCAGAGGAACAATAGTTTTCTGCAAGTTTTTAAGATGATACTTCAGCAAAGTTCCACAAATCTAGGTTGTAAAGCTGATTCTTATCCAACCACCTATGGATATAAAAAGATGCTTTTTTTTTTTTTTAAAGAATATATTTAAAAATCAGGCAGAAGAAACCACTCCATGGTAAGGATTTTGGTATAAGCGAAATCTGATAGAAACGTAGGGATCTCTTCAGAAGGAGACCTCTGAACATCATACCTGGTAATAAGTAAGATAAACCAAATGGTTCTCCTCGGTATTTTCTCATAGCAGTTCTACAGTTTTTTCATCTCCACCAAAAATGTACTGTTACGATTCAATTCTATAACACCACCTTGGGTTATGATAATCAGAGCCTGAGGGTCCTGATGCATTACAAGTAGGATTCCCTGAAGTCGAGGGTTATCAAGCTGTAAAAAACAAGGAGACCTATCATAACCATATAACTGTGCAAACTCCATTTAGGAAGGAAGGGTTCATCTGACTGCCATTCCATCCTTTTTTTATTCTGTCTCCTTCCAAAGTCAGTATCGTGGTACTCCACTGCCACAGTGAAAAACACTTGGATGGCTTTCTTTTTAAGCTTATTAGTGACTGAGCTAAGGTATTCCCAGCCTTTGTTTTCCCCAAAATAAGCTATAATAAAAACATTTGCTGTAGCTAGTTAACAAAAAAGGAAGCTGTTATATACTTGTCAACTATTTGATAGTTTGGTTTGGGGTTTTTTTTTAGTATCTACTGCATCCCATTCTGATTGTCTTGCAGAATTAAATCAGCTCAATATGATGTGGATGAATAGGAGGAAACAAAGAAATGAATGACGTTTAAGAGATCTGTTTTGAAAATTGTTAGGAAGAATTTATTGTTGTCTTTTCAATACAGTTTTAATAACCCATACCAGTTACCAAAACTGGAGAGACATTCTTAGAATCAGGCAGAAAGAGGATTCATAATTATCATTTTTAATCTTAAATTTAAATTTCCAAACTTAAATTTCCAACCTGAAAAGATAAATCCGAATTGAAGTGCCGTATTCCTTATCTCTCTTTCCACTCCCTTGTTAAACGAGTTTATTTTGCATGCACGTTGCTGTGTTTTTCAGACATCAATGTTTTTCAGACACCAATGTTGACGGAAGTTTTGCACTTTTCTTGTGTCTTTTGCATGTAGTAAAAGTCAACTTTGATCTAATCCTGATTTCCGAGATCAGGGAACTAAGATAAGGATTTTTTTTTTCCCACAGCACCTTCCAATCCCACTGTAGCTATTGTTGCAGGGCATTAAAACCCAACATCTTGGGTTTAAAGTCTGACACAGAGATTTTGATCTTCCTACTGTCCTACATTGTGAAAGTTCTGGAAGGTGTTCTAAAGCAGATGTGAAATGGATCAGGGCACAGGGAGCAGCAGAATGGTAGTTTCTTCGCAGGTATGTGTTGCCCTAAGGGCAAGCTGGACAAAATGGAATTTTTAAAAAAAGGTTGCATTCATGAGCCAGTGCCAACCCTGGGCAGTGCATATTACAACAGGCCAGCCTCGAGATGAGGAAAGCGTGGATCCCTACAGTCATGTTTTCATCTACAAGGACAAAAAGTAATTTCCTACATTAGGGAAAGGGAATAGACTTTATTAAGCTGTTTCTATTTGAGCTGGAGGCCTGTGCACAATCTTCACAATTGGGAGCAAAATGCTTACAATTCATTTTGACTTTTTCTTTTCAGCATGTGCACTGTGGCAATGCTGTGGCCAACTGTATCACCTAGAAACCAGGAACCAGTGCATGGGTTAACATAAAGGGGCCAGGTTTAAATATTAAAGAATGGCTTACAGAGTGTGTATTTTGCACGTTTTCATGTTTCATGTGGTCCTGACACCTTAACACATTTCTTCAAATACAACCATGCCAAAGAAACGCAAAATCACTAGCATTTTATTTGAACAATTTCTATGTATCATTAAAGACTTGCTTGGGATTGGATTTGCAAAGCCCTGGGCGTGCATGTCTGTATGAAGACAGAGGAAGAATTGCCAGTCAACCTAAATCTTCCCTAAAACTAAACCAGCTCAGTTTCAGGGAGATATTAGCTATGCTTGGTTTGAACAGAAGTGGGTTGGATCATTCAAGCGATCAGAGACCTATGCGAAGAAACCAGACCTGCGTGTGTGGATCCAAATGGCATCCTTTCATTGAAAAAGATGCACTTGTATTTGTTCTATAGCCAGACATAAAACTGTGTGACATCAAACCGTGATGCAGCTTCATGTGGGATTGTGGAATAAAGCTATTCTGTAATTAGAAAACATGAAGATATGAATGTCATCAGCAGTAATTATAGATGTTTACCAGTGAGGGTGGGGAGGCACTGGGACAGGTTGCCCAGAGAAGCTGTGGATGCCCCATCCCTGGCAGTGTCCAAGGCCAGGCTGGATGAGGCTTGGAGCAACGTGGTCTAGTGGAAGGTTATGGCAACCCCCATGGCAGGGGGATGAGAATTCTAAGGTCCCTTCCACCCCAAAGCATTCTGCAATTCTATGATTAACTGCGTTGTTCACTGACTAAACTTACAGCATGTATATTATTTAACCCCCTGAATTTATTCTGAATACAAAACTTCATAAAGATCTGAGCTGAAGCACCACTTAAAAAACAGACACAGCAAGCGATTGATTTTTTCAGAGCCCTGAGAAATATATGCTTATGCCTGGACCGTGAGTAGCTCCATCTTGCTGGAACTGAAACCTCAAGTATGTACTTTTTCTGCTGTTACTAACTGTCAGAAACAATAAGTTAGCAAGGAAGGAGAAAAATTAAAAGCAGTATGGATCTGAAAGTGAAAGTTGGTGTTGCACATAGAAGAGCCAGAATATTTACAGAAATGTTTCTACTTGCATCCTACTTTGCCGAGTAAAACACAAATCTCTTTTTATCCTTGATTGCTTTCTTCATAATGCACGACAGATAAGCCTTTGGAATACCACAGATTTTTTTCATTGCTATCATTCTGAATTCAGACTGTGGAATGGATCAGAGAACATACTGATACAAATCCAGCAAACGTCCTGGCAAAAACCGCAACTTCTTGTCAGAAGGGTGGTGATGGGTTGACGAGGTACAAGCCAAGCTGGAAATAGCTATAATCACAGTTTACAAGGGTTAACTCCATGAAAGCCACCTCTTTGTGTATCTACCGCAGGCATCCAGCTTTGAAAGCCCTAAGCACCGTACCTTCCCTATCGTGAAGGTGCATAGCTTGAGCCTTTTGCTAAACGAGGAAATTTAGACCGAGCCACGGGACTCATGGAACAGCCCGATATACTGAAACAGAGACAATGACAAGAAAAGCGGATCGACTTGGACTTCGAGTGAAAACGGTTAAAAAGAGAATGCAAAGCGAGTGACGAATGGGATTAATCCAAGCAAGTGTTGAGAAGGAAGTTGAGGATTTCAAGGAAGGAAATGACTCATTCTCTGTGTTTGTGTATAGGAAAGGCTGAGTAATACAAGGTTGGCTGGTGCCATACACCTTTTTGGTCATTTTGGATCACTCTGGTGAAAAACCCCAATTTACTTACGTCCCTCGCACCACAACGTAGCACGTACATACTCCCTATGATTTTTAACTGCCTCCACCGTTTACTTCATTGTTAAGAAGCACCTGTAATCTATTTATACAGAGAGGAAGTCGCGGGGGTGGGATAAAAGCAGGGAATGACAAACTGCACTCTGTTATCAGGTATAGACCACTAAAGGTAAGTAAACTGTTCTTAACCTGTGGGCCAATTCCAGACCTTCCTTGTTCCTATTATTTACTGAAAAGTCTGAGATGTATTCACAGCACCCGTGTGGAAATCAAACAGGAAAACGAGCTATTGAAAAATTAGCTGCAGTGCATTATCCACACATGCTCACCAGGAACTCAGCAAAACTTAGGGGTGAAACGGAACACGGGCTTTGGACAGCAGACTGGTGCCAAAGATGGAAATAAGCATACAGAAACAGAAAACCACAGATATCTACCCATTATTTTGATCCTCTGTACTTTGAGGCCACTGGTCACCCATGGGTTGGTATGCAGCATGAGGGTTTTTCTGGCATTATTGCCACTTTTCTTTCTCGTGTTGGGGGTTTCAAGAACTAACTACGTGTGCTAAGGAAGGCTGTTCCCCAGTAGTGATTTCCCTTTGTGCTGATCAAGGTTGTGTTTGGATATCAGACTTTGAAACAGCCACACATACATTCTCATTTTCACCGAGTGGCTGATGAAATAAAATTCTCTGTGATCTTCTGTGCAGTTACTCCTCTTTTCAAGCCCACGATACAAAAATATACTGCATGATCCATAATGGCCACAGCACACCCTTCTCCACAGCACGGAACAGACCCACGTGTTTCATATATCCATCAGAAAGGCACTACGCAGACTATGAATCCACCAAACTGCAGAACAGATTTAAAAGCAAACCGAGATAAGCGTGTGAGTACAAAAGAGAGGAGGTGGGTTTGGTTTTGGGTTTTTTTTTAAGGACAGAAAAGTACTGAATCAAAGCACAGAAACACCAGCTAGCATGCGAAGCAATTCGATCCACGCACCACAGAATCTATGTTTTTAGAAAGTAGATTCTTGGAGATTTAAAGCATAAACTATGTACATAGCTCCCTCTGATGACCATTGGACACGATACAATGCGAGTCTCCTTTTATTTTTGTTCGTGCATTCAACTGACAGCTGACTGGTTAAATTCTAATTGCTTCCAAGTGAGGTCAGCAAAGGTATTTATCGAAAGGGACTGAACAACAGGCTCAACACACACATGCACGCGCACGCATAAGCACATACACACCATCTCTCCAGCGTGTTGATTTATGGAAACAATTATAATTCTGGTGGAGTCTTTCTGAGCTGAGAAAGTTTGTAGCTACAGTAGAGTGTCTCATGTTGCAAAAAGCAGACAACAGAAATGGAATACTTGGCTATCCAGCTCTTATCAACAGGAACAAGTAAGTTATCTCTCTTTTACGAGAACATTCAACAGTTTCTAATAGCTAATAACTTTTATCTTCGTTTAGCTAGATGCTAAAAAAGCATTAAGAAAACTATTTCTGTAAGTAAACTGAAAAGGGTAGAAATAAAAATACAGGGCTAAGACTATGAGGTCTGTTTTGAAATCGGAACTAGAGAAAAGTTACCGGGTAGATTGTGCTAACAGTGAATCTATAGGTACGAAGTAATCAGCAGAATTTTACCATGCATGAGAAAGTAGCTCAACTAAATCAATAGGGGATTTTAGGAAGGGCTTCTGAAGGCAGAACTGTGTTTACAATCAGTTTAAATGTCCGTTTATGTAAAAACTTGTGTGAGAGATCTCTATTGTATATACATTTGCATATTTTTTAAATCTGCCCAGCATGTCGTACATTTATGTATAGTCCTTTTCAGTAGCATAATGTATCCTTGCGTGTTTGTAACAACTGAGCATAAAGACTTACACATGCACCTTTTCTCACAGATCTTTTACTTTCAGTGCAAGCAGCAAATTCAAGTAGTACAGAAGGTCACGACAACAAAGGTTTTTATAACTTGTGTCTTTAAAGGATATTCTGACTGAAGAGATATTTAAGAAGCTCTTCTGTTTCGCCGTTAACTATTAAGGAATAAGGATCAGAATTCTAGAAGAGGGAACAATCTCGTTTAAATGAATCTGTAACTCGTAAAGACAGAAGGCAGGTCGGTGACCTAAAAGCAACAGTCTACTTGAGATTTAATTTTCATTATGTTGTTCATGAACACCCAGAACACTGCACTATAATGCACAAATGGATACTGACATGGATCCTGCCAATTTTGCTCTACAGATCATACTTTTACATTATCTTTCTAATGGGCACTATATCTTTAGCTTGCAATGACATGACTCCAGAGCAAATGGCTACAAATGTGAACTGTTCCAGCCCTGAGCGACATACCAGAAGCTATGATTATATGGAAGGGGGGGATGTAAGAGTGAGAAGACTTTTCTGTCGAACTCAGTGGTACATGAGGATTGATAAGCGAGGCAAAGTAAAAGGGACAAGAGAAGCAAACAACAACTACAGTAAGTAATAGCTTTGCTTTTCCTATTTCTAATTTTTTGGAAACGTACACATCGTTGTCTCCTATTCCTTGATTTATCGTAATGGCGAGAGAATTTTGTATAGGGTACTGATCATTGTATAAGACAAGTTTTCCAATTAATCCTACAGCAGGACATTTGTTATTGATTTTGAAATGCGTCATTTTAAATACTGCATTGTAGATCTGCTAATGTATTAGTTGCAGCTGGAAACTATTAGCAAACAGAGAGCCTATTTTAACAAGTGAATTAAGGTTGTAAGTATGAAAAAGTATAACCACAAACTCTGCCCATAAAACACTTAAGAAACATTAAACCACATTTATATAGTCCACAAACTACCTAGAAGTTTGGTGTGTTGGAGTTAACAATTAAAGCATATGCAATACTAGAAAGTTCAATGGAAAGAATTATGTAAACTCTCTTGCAAAATCTTTTAGATAGTTTGCCAAGCCAGGAACAAAATCTATTATAGTTTCTGCAGTTCATTATTACAATGATCATGATGCTGAAAAAATATTCTCTCCCCTTTCTTCCAAAATCATGACTCATCTAGAGAGAATGGACATACAATATTTTGCAAAGCTGTACCAAATACAATTTTGGAACTGGCAAAAGAATTGCTGTACTAATCTGTATTTTTCACACAAATACCTATATATCCTTCATTTACACTTGCAGGAATCAATTTTACAATCACTATTTTTGCCACTTTGGGTCTCATGTTAATACAAATATATTGTTCATTTAGAGAAACATGACATCTACTTGAAAAGCCATTATTGATACAACAGGAAAATACATAGGATTATATTGCATATTTCAAATCAAAATCATAAGGAAAAGGGGCCAGAGACGTGCTGATCTAGTGCTTATAGTCAACTGAAAGGACAACAATACCTCTAAGGGTAATATTAAATACAGTCTTAATGTAGGTTGTATGTATTATCATGCTTTTTATAACAGCAGCAGAAAAAGAAATCAATAAATCAAACCAAGAACTGGTAGTGTGATTCAGTTTTCAGCTGAAGTTGCCTATTTTCTGTAAGAACAGCACTTTTGCATGCTAAGCGCCTGGCTAGTGGGCTTCATAATTTATTTCTTTACTTCACGACTACATTAAGTGCTTGGCAGCTTGCGTGGCTAAAACTTCATTGACTAATGTTACTGTTCCTTTTAACATTTGTTTCCATATGTCTCCTTTCTTCCTACACTATTACGTAGTGAATAACCATATTCCTCTGCAAGACAACACATGGCTGGCAGCCAAATAAATTATTTGGTCCTTATTCAAGACGACTCCCATTGAGTCGCAGGAGAACATTGCTGCAATAGAGATCCATAGGGCTGGTTTTGAAATTAAATGTTGTTCCCACAAAAATCACTGAAAACAACTGTTACTGACGACTGCTGAAATAGTTTCTTCTAAATTGTTGCAGATAAGTGAATACCCACAGTACCCTTTTTTTGTGTTATTCTTTTAAGAGATTATGACAGCACATAGAGCTGAATAATTATATATACTTGCTTTTTTGTAGTTCCATGATGTTTAAGGAAAAGCTCTGTTAGTAATTTAGCATTATTTCAAATTCAAGTAAAGGTTCTCAATTCTCTGCAGGAGCCCATGCTGCTGAAGCACACTAATGGCACTCTGAAATGTTCTGCAGTGATACCATTAGAGGATATCAGGTCATCATGTGCTAAAGGCAATCCTTATTCTCCTGGTTTTCTGAACACTTAGTAAGATTTAGTGATAATTTTTAATTACAATTACAGAAAGGCAATCTTGAGTCGTTAAACCCTTATATTTACATTGCGGTGAAAAAAAAACCCTGAATTCTTTTTCTGGTAGATGCAATGACTACCAGGAAAAAAAATCAATCCAGCCATGAATGGTTTATCTCCTAAGTGATGTAAGCTATGATGAACTGACTCCACTAAATTTGATTGAAGTATGTGGGAAGTCTCCCACCATCTTAAGTTTAGGTCTCTTGCTGTAATTTATCTGTTGTACATTAGGAAATAATATCCAAATGCTTTTGTTGGACAAGTAGAACAGAGAAAACATAGGCAAAGAGGAGTGGAAAAATGTCAGCATTGATAATTTGGATTTTCTGAGCAACAACAAAATCGGTGCTGTGGAAAATTTCTCCTTTTTTTTGTCATACCCTCTATTCAACAGAACATGTAGGAAGCCTTTTAGAAGATGTGTTTATGGCTTTATGCTAAAATACCCATAAAGAAAATAATATGATGTGAGGGCAAAACCACAAAACAAACCAACCAAACAAAAAACCCACCATCCTAAAACACCCTCCTGGACCAATACACTTTCCCTAAGCAAAATTTTTAATATTAGAAGACTAGACAGGCAATTGTTATCCAGCATCTCTGAGAAGCATCATTTTAAACCCATACCCATAACAAAGACATATTAATCTGGATGTTCAAGTATTCCTATTCCATGATTTCCAGCTCTGAAAGTTACTAAAAGGTACATCAGACCTGTTCCTCGGGATGGAATCCCAGAACAGTTGCAGCCCAACTAATCAATGGGTATGAAAAGCGTTGCGTGGAGAAGTATATTCTTATTTTATCCTAATTTTCCACTCACATAATAACTAAAAGGAATCCTTTTCCCTTTTGAATCACTAACATGTGCTACTAAAATGAAACCAAGAAAAACCATAATATTTTTAATCATCATAACATAGCTTCATGAAGTTGCACTGACAGTGTTGCAGACAGTCAATTACTTGTTTTCAGCCCATGAATCGTGAAGCGTGGATAATCTGAGCAGCAATATTCACATTGAGAAATGTCTGTAGAATGATAACTTCATCATAACTTTAGCAAGTGCCAAAACTCACAGCTCCTCTCATCAGTCAAGACTATAAATGTAAGAATGCCAAGACAGTGAGAAATTAGTGGCTTTGTCTAACTTCCCTAGTAAGTTACAGAATAAAACACATATACACATCCTATAAAAGTAACAGCAAACAATGAAAGTGTTGAAAATTCTTTAAGATTTTAACTCAACATCACTAAATGTACGTAGATTGAATTTCCCTGACAAATTTCAACTCTGAACCAAATTCTCACTCACCAATTGTAATTAAGCTGTATTTATAATTCATGTTTCAAAACAGATTAGAAGTTTGCTTAGTCCAAGAAATACGCGTGTGCTGTTTCAGTGAAAGCAAACTGTTGAATCCTGTTTACAGCAGTGACGAGGTCGTTAGGTACCCGAGGAATACGATTCTGTGCACATTTCAGAAACGTGAAGGCAGCAGAGCCTTCTGGCGGACACAAAGCTGGTAACTGGAGAGTAAACTAAGCAGATCAGAGGACAGTGATCTCCAAAAATCAGAGAAAATCATTCTGCACCTGACAGCCTTGCTGTCATGCTGAAAACTAAAAGGCAGAGTGAGAACTGAGAGTCACATACTGAAAAACTAAAGCAAGAATTAGGAAGCAGCCAAGAGATGAGGTCACCCCGAAAAACCTGTCATTATTCATAAAAAATTTTCTCTTTGACAATCACTTCTTATACCTTTCCAAGCCCAAACAATTCGTTTTTTATTAAAAAAATCAGTTTTGTATCTCGTTCGTGTAAAGTCATCTAGGTGGGCACACAAAAGAGGCTTTTTGAATTCATGGTTGTAGAAAGTGAGAGTGACTGAACAAATCTTGGAGATAATGTGACAATTTGTTAACTCTTTATCTTTGATAGAAAATAAATCTCTCCTTACTACTGCTTACTCCTTTCAGTTTGTGTTTATGAATTTTGCCTGTTTGTACTTGATTTTGTTCAGAAAAAAAAGGCAGCAAAAAATCAGAGTTTATTTTGACTCTATCCAAGAGGATTTACAACTACGACTGGATGATGTTTTAGGACTTTCCACGCTCTGTTGCCTTTGGAATCTCATTTTAAAGACTTCAAAGGGTCTCTTAGTTACCAGAAAAGCCTTCCCGGAACCTGAATCCTAAGATGTCTGATCCTATCATATTCCATGTGTGCTCTAAACCCAGAAAGTGTCTATTTCTTCCTCTTTTCACTGGATAAAGCCAACCAAAAAAAAATAAAAAAAAAAAAGACAGTCTAGTGAGATCTTTGCACAAAATGGCCGAAATCCTCATTAAAATTTTTATCTCTGAAAACTATTTCTATTTTGATCAAAATCCAGCAAGCCATAGTTTTCAGCAACATTAAATGAACTCTAATTCAGTTTTGTTCTAACCTAAACCCTAACCGATGACAAAGCACACTTTATAAGCACCTTCGTGGTTAAGTACCCAAACTTGCTTTGAAATGAAAATTATTTCCAATAGCACTTAAATATGCATTTTAGGCTAAAACAAACGTTGGACTATGTTTGCTGTGCCACTATATAGTTTTTTATTTCTGTTGCTTAAATACCTGTTACACAGAGGAGCAAGAAGACTCAGTACCTGAAAATCAGATATTTCAAGGCAGGTCTTGATGTAGCAGATTCAGTTAAGGCTTATGTGTGTTCCAACCAGACAGAAAGTCTGTCTTTGCAAGTGCATTCTTGATTTTTCCAGAGGTTTTTGGTTCAATCGGTACTTTGGCATCAGGAGATGACAATCCTTCACTAATGTGAAACTGCTTTTCCTTCACATTAGTACTCCGCTAACCTTTTCAATTAGAAGAGATCTAATCCAAATGGCAGTATGTGGGTGTCCTCTCCAAACTCAGCCTGCAGTGCCAAGGATGACTTTCCCTCCTACAGTGGTTAACCCGAGCTAAATATAACAGATTTCCCTGCTCCCTCTCGAGCTCTTTGTGTAGCACTAGTGGTAGCCACCACCCCTCGAGTCTCAACCAGCAGAAGAGACTCTATTTAGCCTCTACCTTATCCCAAATCCCAGCTTTTCACCATCAGGTGCTGCTGAAGCTGGGCTTTAGCAAAGATGCAGGTAACAGACGCAGCTAAGTTATGCCTGCCTTACCGGGTCTA